AAAACGGCAGCTTCAATCTAGCGGTAGGGGTGTACAAGCAAGGTACACAGTTACCACTATCTCACCCCGGGAAGGTCTGAGATTAAATCCTTGAACGTTCTAGCCGGACGGTACCATAAGGGTACGTGCGGGAACCAGAAACAGCTTTACGTTACCAATTAGCCTAGGAAGCTTTTTATAAGTTGAGGTGCTTGGAAACGGAAAGATGGAAACCCGTATGATTCGCTATTTGAGTACAATCCGCAAGCCAGAATACTCATGTTCTGGAACTCAATTCAGACTAATCTGAGGCTGCTGTACACTGAGGGTACTATGTCAGAGCTTAAATTATACATGCTTAGATCATTTATCTTTAATAGTTTCAATGTAGTAACACGAAAAAGGAAAAATTTTATAATCATATATATATTTAGAAAAAAGCGGTATACGTTATACCTTGTTTTAATGAAGAAGAACAGTTAATGGTATACATTTTAATTTTTGCAGACCTACTTCAAGGATCAAACGGAACCTCAAATGTGTCCAATGTGTTTAACATACATTACTGCGTCATCTTATATTAAAATAGATCAAACAGGTCGACCGAGGCCTGCAGTTAGAATTTTAAATGTACCCTTGGTTTTACGGCACGACACGACGAATGAAACGACGAATAATCGCAAAGGAACTAAACTTTTTGGATACCCTTATTTAGTCAGGTTACCATCAAGAGTAAACGCAAAGGAATTGTATGATATTGTTAGGAGAAACGTGCCACAGGAAAGAAGTTACACGCTTCATTTTGTTACAGGCCAGGTTAGAAAAAAATGATTAATTCTCTTAGTGAATATTGATAAGTTGATAAATAATTGTATAATCGTACAAATAAAAAAGGATTGAAGAATAAAAAGTATTTTTTACAGGGCCACCACTGTTCTCGTTGTATGTACACTGAACATTGTACAGGTTGCAGTGTGCCAGAAACTGGTATGGTTGTGTTACAAAATGGCGATACTTTAGCTGTGCGATATACAGAACACGTTCCTAAGATTGCGCCTCCAATTGAACATGTCAGCATTAGTAAACAAAGGCCACATCATCCACTGTCTTTATATGACTGTCTTCAAGCATTTAGCCAGAGGTATGATATTTATTTGCTGTTAAAGTTAGTTTCCATTGCTGTATATTGTAAGTTTCTTGAGTATCTAAATTTATATTTTATAACATTGATTCACGTAATTATTATGGATTTTTAGTGAAACGTTAGATGAACATAATCCTTGGTTTTGTCCAAAGTGTGAACGAAATCAGTGCGCCACAAAAACTCTTACCGTTCACAGATACCCCAAGTTCCTTATAGTCTATTTGAAACGGTACGTACATTTACAGTTATTTAATAATTTGAAAATTGATTATACTTCGAAGAAAGATTTATTGAATTTGTCTTGTAATCTGTATTATTATAGATTTGTGTTTTACGAATGTGCTAGTATGAAGTTAGATGACAAAGTCACATTCCCCTTGGTTGGTTTGAGCGTGGGTCGGCACTTGTACGATCTTTATGCTTGTGTCTGTCATTTTGGAGGTATATATTTATTGCTTCATTAAAGTAGCAGATGAATTAGTTATACATTACTACTTGCAATAAACAGAATATCTTTGACGGATTTGAAAATACTAAAAATGAAGAAAACGAAATATTATTCATTAAGTTCATCAAGTTCATTCTTCAAACCATTTTATAGACCTTCTTTTGTGTCTTCCGATTAAAAAGATATTCTATTTTTTGTAAAACTACTTCTATGAAATCTTTTCTTTACCTTTAGTATTTCAAAGATTTTATTTGAAAATAACTAATAATCTTCTTCAGAACGGTATTGTATATTTTTTTACGCTGAAATTTCTGTACGTAAACCGAAGATCATTAAATTTTTTTTTTATTTAATACTGATTAATAGTTATCTTCGTGAAAATTAAAATACATTTACTGGGCAGTATCCTAACAAAATTGTGAAATATAGAAATAGCTATTATGGAAGTACTAAAGATAAAGGAAATATGTATCAGTTAACAAAATTAGGCGAGTCATTTTAGACAAATTATGAAATTCTCAATAATGCGTAGGAGTATCAGCTGGGCACTATACAGCGTATGCGAAGAATCCCCGTACAGATGTGTGGTACTATTACAATGATGAAATTACGAGCAGACAAAAACCTCAGGATGAAGATTTTAGCAACGCTTACATACTTTTTTACAGTCGGCAAGGGACCAATATAAAACCGTGCAATATATAACCAGTGCTGAATCAAAGAACTTGGAGAACCTGGAGAAGTGTCAGTGAGACGAATAAAGTGCAGAAAGAGAAGGGTTGTGAGGAGTTGGAGTTGTTTTCTAAGTGTTCCATTGGCGCGTTTACCGAACTGTATCGTGATGAATGGAAAACTGCTCAGAAATTTAATTACCAATTTCCCGTGGTGATCTACTCATAACCAGTCTCCTTCGTGTTCCCTGTTTCTTTCTTGCGTTCTCCTATTTCACGCTACTTTGAAATTCCTCTTGCGAGTATCCTGCAGACAGTGCAGTGTGTATGATCTAATAAAGGCATTGGTTCGCCGATTGGTCGAATATCATTAGCCATAGGCCATACGTTTCTTCCGATTGACCGTTTTGATGTATACGGAAGACATTCTTTTTATGCTCGCCGAAACACCAGTGATTGCGTTCGATTGTGAAAACAGAGCCTGTGTGTGTGGTACAGTTAATATATATAATATATATTATTAACAATATATATATATATATATATATATTTGGGAGATGGACTGCGTATTATTTATACCAGCCGATGAAACGTCTAAACGTACGTCGAATTTGTACAGTAGGTGATTAAACATAGACTCCAGGATTTTGAACAGACGTTAATTTATTAGCGAATAAAAGGTGAACGTTATGACTAGAAGACACTTAAAAATATGCCCGTTTAACGACAGATTGTAACCATTCATTGTATCATCATTTTTTTTCTTTTTACTCGAACGGATACAAGACTGCTAACATATAAATATATGTATATATATATATGTATATATATATATGTGTATATATATGTATATATAAATATATATATATAAATATATATGTATATATATATTTGTAATCTGCATGTACATTGTATAGCAAAAACAAACGTTGTATTTGCAGATTATTTATTAAATTAGTTTTGTTGTAATTTTATTACAAGATATTCATTTTACTTGTTTTATTATTATTATGTATATAATAATAATACGTAATAATTCGTATTCACACTCATCCACACGACACATGCATGCGTCATCATACATAAACATCATATCCGTTGACAGTTTGCTGTCTTTCACGCGGTAACTGTTATAATATTCGTAGTGGCGATTTATTGTAAAAATCGCGAGATCGTATTGGTGAAATTGTTCTCGAATCTTAGAAGTACTTATATGATCATTCGTTTTCCGTTCTCTCAGACAACGTGTACAATTCTTGAACGAGTGATTGGTTAGAATTGATTTGAAGAAATCGTTTTGTAAAGAAATTCAAAACAGGATATTTCTTAGATGTTTGAAATTTGATTTCGGTATTGTCAGTCCAATCGAGTTTCGATTAGGCTTGCAAAGATTGACCAGTGAATATCTTTAGACGCTAACGATATCAAAAAATAATATTAAATGAAGTTCGTGAGTA